CATTACCTCCCAACACTAACTGCAAGATCTCCTCGGATTGTCCCGGGCTCAGACTTCTGAGGATCAGTTGCTCCAATAAGTTTACGTCCGTATCTGATCACTCCTTCTCCTTCCCAGACCTATACAAGTCGAGTTAGTCGATTCTTTTGAGTTTTGTTATCAAATTCTAAATGTTGAATGAGAGTGGTTTTCTCTTACCATGGCAATAACAGGACCAGAGCTAAGGAAATCACACAAGCCATTGAAGAAAGGTCTCTCCTTAAGATCATGGTAATGCTTTTGTGCAAAATCTTTGGAAGGAGAAACGACTTTGATACCAACAAGCTTGAAGCCCTTGCGTTCGAATCGAGAAATGATTTCTGATATCTGGTGATTCACGAGATAAGATTTGGACATATGAATAAGAAAGCTACAACACTTCGAGACCAATCAAGACTAAATAGAAACCAAGCTTCTATTACCAGTCCTCGTTGCACTCCATCAGGCTTGATAGCAATGAAGGTGCGTTCCATCTGAATTATACAAAATGTTCAGCGATGAAGAACGTAAAGAAGATGACAAACAGAAATCGGATATACATTAAAGAGAATTATCAAAATGAATTTGGAAATTTTACCTCAGCAGCAAGAACATCTTGATCTTGAAGCATAAAGGCTATAACAGAAACACAAAAAGAGAGGCAATGTGTTAATAAATCACTTCACCGCCGCATAACGATTTTGAAATAATGGAGTCTGAAAATTTCCCAACTTTATCCTATTCTATTCTCAAACTAATTAACAGTAACCAAGTGATTGCAATTGTGGCTAACATTTCATCGTTTATATTAAAAAAGATGTAGCTAAAACCTGCAGCGGGAAGAGCTAGGAGTCCGGTGATCCAGCTCTTCGAGGCGAAGCCAGAAGAACCTGATGATCTTGCAAAGTTAGATGCATACAAAGGAATCTTTCCAGATGCAGAAACAGCTGCACCAATGGCTCGTCCTTCTGCAAAAATCAAGATCCCCAAAATTACGAATATGAAAACATTAGATCAAGTTATAAAACAATATTCAGATTCTTGTTTTGTAATCACAGAGACAATAATAAAGAGATGATTCCATTATCAGATCTAATAATAAAGCTAAAGTATCAATTTTTTATTTCTCAGATCCATATATGAAAACGAATCGAGAATCAGATAAAACGGATCGATCAAATCCAGAATTAGAACGATTTCGCAGATTTAATCAATCAATCGATCGATCGAGGAATCTAAAGAACAGATTACTAACACATGAGAGAGAGAAGATTTGAACGTACCGGAGAAGAGACGAGCATTCTTAGCTGAAGAGAGAAGAGACCTGGCTGCTTTGGAAGCAGATCTGCAGATTTGAGAGCTCATTTTTGC